AGATATATAGGTTAATTAAAAAAATGTGCTGTTACTGAGAAATCATGCATTAAAATTTTAATATACCTTATTGACGTTGCAAAGATGGGTCTGATATATAGTGGTATTATGATACAAAAAGTTGTTTAATAAAATTTTATTATTGATTAATTTTTGTGTATCATTCAGGTGCATTGACATACAGCAGAGCAACGAGGTAGAGAGGACACAAGCACTTCGATTGGTCAGAAAGGTATGCTCTATCTGTGAGAGTAAAAGGCAAATTTATGATTTTTGTGTTAAACATTTACATTTTTAGATTAGACTGTCTTGTAAAATATTTTTATTACAATTTAAAGACTAAACCTTTATTAAACATTTTTATTTTGTTACAGTTATATTTGAATTAAATAGATCCATTAAACTTTGAAGTAAACATAAGTATTTTGTGTAATTATTTTATGTGATTGGGTATAGCTAGGACAATATCTCTTATAAAAAAGTGAAGATTATTTCTTCCTTCAGTAGACATGTAACTGTAATTACTGATTTGATAAGTTATTGGAAAAAGAGGATTACTTGCCACCCTGATTTTCCCTTAAATGCATACTTGCATTTAATGCTATTAAAATGGATGTCACAAATAGTTAACAAACTCCTTGTTTTAAAGATGTATTTGGATACAATCCCTGGGCAGTTGCAATAAACAATTCAGGCCATTGTACAGGATAAAAGGTCACAATTTAAACTTGCAAGAGAGGGTGTTAAGAACAATCCATAATGCTTCTCATAAGAGGCCTTCAAGGAATGCTTTGTTGTTGTTTAATGTGATGCCCTAATGGCTGAGGAAAAGAGTGAAATGAGAGTCAACTTGGGACACAGCCTTTTAGTAAGACAAGTATCATACTTCATCCTAAACATTCATGAGAATCGTTCAGTATATGTTTGCTAATGTAAAAAATGTCTAAAATTATTTAACAATTGAATTTTTTTTAGCTTTTTCTCCTTTCCTACCTTTGAATTCAGTACATGCTCCAAAATGGTGGACTGTTCAGTTTGTATATTAACTAGGGTTTGTCTGTTTCCTTTTTTTCAATTGTCTACCTTGTGGTTAGTAATAATACCCACAGGTAGGCATAGAAAGGAACAAGTAGACAGATGAGTTTAGTTTTAAGTTTGAAATTCTAGTAAGATTGATACTGGAGCTAGATTAGTAAATGTTTTGTTAAAAGAAAACTATTATACCAGGACTTTGATTTGGCTTTTCAAATTTCAGTTTAAAAATTAGATTTGTGGCTTTTGTTTGTTCATACAATTCCTCCTACTGCCATGACTATGAGAATTCAAGATAAGAAAACAAAATTTGTTTCTGAAGAACCTAGAACCTAGAACCAAAAAATAACTTTTTGGTTATTTGGGTTATATATGTCAATATTTATCATATTAGGAATTAA